CGAGGAACCCTTTCGTATCATGTTACAATTTTGTACAAGGCTAGATACCCATGATTTGGGTTTCACGACCTTGACATTGTGAGAGCCAAAAATCCTTAATAAACTTTCGAGATGAATCCATGTACAATAATGTTTGCCAAGTTATCCAACATATTTATCAATCTATAAATCATGAAGTGGGTGGCAGTCCCACATCAAGGTAAGACGTTTGGGTCGCAGTCCCACCCTCAAGGTAAGGTGTTTGTATAAGATTCTTGCAATAACCAAATGTTTATCATTGATCATTACTATACCAATTAAAGGAGTATATAAGGCATGTTTGGTGAGTGATCATTAAAATACTTATTAATGATCATCTATGTAAGTACAATACTTATCATTTGTTGTCTCATTGTATATTTGGTGGGGTATGGACTTAAGCCTCTAAGAGAAACAAGAAAAGAAAAAGAAAACGAAATGGGTTAACAGTGATCGAAATTTATGGCCACCTGCGGCCTTTGGATTTTGAGGAAAATGCAACATCTTGGTCTTTCAAAGTAATACCAAGCTATGGTATCATCTGTGGTATCAGGTTGGTTTTACATAGATAATTTGGGTCAAGGTATGGTATCATCTATGTCTATCCTCAATCGTCTATGTAAAACTTCAAATCTTTTTTGCAAAATAGGTCTCTCTTATAATGGAGGGGGTGGGTGCACAATTCCTGAATTGTGGGAATCTCTATCCCCAACCGATGGGAATAATGATTCCAGTAATATGATTCCTATTTCGTCGGATCGCAATTTCAGAAGTCATTGAACTGTGTGGGGTCATGTGCGATTCTTTGAAGGTAGGAGACTCGATTCCAACATTGATGGGATACTGATTCCTACAAATATGAATCACAATTCCTATTCTATTGGATGACGATTCCAATTATTGGGAATCACGCCTTCGATGGTTTTCATTGTACGGATGACGATTCAGAGATTAGGAATCATCTGGCACATCCGATTCCGTGATTCTGATTCTTGAAACGAATTGGAACTATATGATGACCCTTACCCCATTCTTTCCTATGTTAAGCGTGGGTTTTGGAAGGACTTCCAACCGTATATGTCTCATATAGTGGGACCTACATTGGCTAGACCCAGCTTAGTATAAGTATAATTATCAGCCCCGCTAGTCTCTCGCTGAACGCTTGAACTATGGTCCATAGCCCCTTTATGTTTACGTAGAGCTTGGAACTTGTATTTGTCCCTCCCCTAAGTTGTTTTTGAAGGTAAATATAATGGAGGACCTGCATTAGCCTCAGCCCTCTTAGAATAGATATAATTATTGGCTCAGTTGTTTGCTTGCTGAAGGATTGAACTATGGATCATACCCCCTTTATGCTTGTTTAGAGCTTGTAACTTGTATTCGTCCTGCACTCTGGTAGTTTCATGCATGACGCGGGTAGTTGGGATGACCACGACGGGACTCGTAAACTTTGCTCCAGAGGAATTTGTTGTCGAACAACGCACAATATTTGCTTTGTAACTGTTTGAATACTCAGATCTGTGGCATCAATGAACAAGAATAGATCATTGGAAGCATGCTTCTTTCGGGGTTTTGATGTTGGGCAACTTTTGGAAGCTCGTGGGCAAACATGAATTGACGACAAACATGTTTGGCGATATCCCAACGAAACGAACTGCTTTGGTCTTGGGCCTTGTCTTGCCTGCCACAAAGGGATGAAAGCTTTTATATCTTCTCACTTTCTCTGACCACGACATTGAGGAGTAGTTGGGTTGTGGTCTTGTTGCCCCTACCAATGTCACAATCGGGGCAACCAGGATGTGTGCGTTCTTCTCTTGAGTAGGCTTCTCATCAAGGGGGTAAGGGATGGGTTGGTATGGAAACATGCTGCAATATCGTTAATGCTGGGGATGGCTGACTATCCAGTCCGACGGGAACACTAGGGTTCCCACCATGAAAGAGGAGATGGGAGCGTCAGGGATCCCTTTCTTTAGAGGTGGAGTTGAGGCCACTGGCCATCGATTTGATCGAGAGGTAACCGAAAAGAAAAGAGGCAGATTGATCCCCAGTGGAATCGCAGATATTTGGGGGGTTCTTGAGTTATTTGTGGGAATACAAGTAACAACTCAAGAACGACACAAATAACACCTTGCCAAGTGGATGATCTTGATCAGGGCTTTATTTTCAGTTTTGGGTAAATCAGTCCCAAGGTACCTGTAGATACCTGTTTAATTACATTCGCCACCAATGACGATGCTTACATGTAAAGATACGAAAAAGGATATTTATGATATTTATCCCTTTGGTTAAGATGGCGTAGTGGTGGGTAGAGGATATTTTCACTCTACCCTTCCTGTTAATCACATTTCGTAGTGGCATGTCACTTTGGCTTCATTTGCCAGGTGATTCGTGTCTTTGTAATGTTTATTCATCCGAAGCATGCAATATTAGTTCTAGTCCCCATGATGTACCATGAGAAAGTGCTAGAATTAGGCGTATCATAAAATATTTGGTGAAAGTACATGCTTTATGCACTGGGCTTACTAGGGTGGAGTTGTAAAGCGAGGCTCACCAGAGTGTGCCATAAGTATATATAAAATTTTTTTACCAACAATAAAGGCTATTGGGAAAATTCTACGCAGCCCTCATAACCCAGGCACAATGATGCAATTATCATTGAGCTAATAGCCCGTCGTGCAGGCCAGGCCTCCCCATTGGGGAGGCCTTCTATGCCAAAAGCGAGAGAAAGCCCATCCCTCTCTTTCCTTTTTGTACCCGATGTTGCCACCCCGGCATGGATATGAGGACCCTAGACTACAGGAATGTCTTAGCATTGAGCTCAACACTTGGTCTATAACTCGCACAAGTGTGCCTAGTTTTACCTTAAGAAGGCGGGGTTTGTCTTTCTTAAGAATAACTAGGGCATAGTTTGGTTAGTGTCAAAACAATATCAAAACTCATTTTAGGTCTTTCCAATCTTAAATCCAAAAAGCAATCAGAGGGAGGAGGGAAGGAAGTCAGGTTGGCTGGATTCAGGATGTGATCGACTAATGAATATGGTTGTGATGGGTAGGTTAAAACAATTCTTCTTGGTCATTGCTAGCTACTGCCTTGCCTTATAGTAGTGATTCATAGTGGGCATAAGGGTGTTTGCTCTCATTCCCCTCATTGCGCAAGGGGTAGGCCCAAAAGGACAGTTGGAAGTAGTGAGAAAAGATATGGGGACTTATGGCCTCACTGAGGGTATGGCCCTTGATAGAGCAGAATGTCGGCTCGTGATTTCTTCAGCGATCCCAATTAGTTGGGAAAAGGCTTTGATGATGATGATGGGTTTTGGGATTATATCACTGATTTTGGTTGCTCTTATGGAAACTAATGGTTAAGTGGGTGCAAATTAATTAATTTAAGGAATTGGGTTGTGATTTCTGTTGATTATTTCAGAAAGATGGCTTCTTTTATTCTTTAAATGTGATTTTAAAATGATCGTTGATGATAAAAAGGACCAATCTTGATGGTACTAAATGTGCAAGGGACCCTCACAAATTAGGGTTAGTCACATGTTTTCATTGGATGGGAGATTAATTAGAAGAAAATTAAGAAATTTGGCTAAACCAAAAATGATTATAAGTAATTTGAAGATTAGTGCAATATATGGTTTCATATTACGCAACAAAGAATTTGTGTGAAAAAGTATAAATACCGTGTATATTTTCCTTCATGGATGTATTTGAAGTTATAGGGATATTGTTGTTTGAAATAAATGAACTATAGTGCAAAAAATGAAAAACAAAAATTGTCTATTCCGAAACAAATAGACTATGCTAAGGTAATAATAGATGCTTGGCCCCCCCTGCACACGGAGGTGTTTCTGGGCGCCTAGGCTTGGGCTCCTGTCTCTGCCTTTTTGAACATTGGATAGGAGTCCTTTACCAGGACTACCTTCTATGTATCTCAATATGGGAAAAAAAGGTGGTAGCTAAAATCATATCTACTCCATATCCTAGGATTGAAAATCAACTAAGGAATTTTTTACTAAGCTAGTGGGTCAGGACTGCCTCATACCATTATAAGAAAGTCAGACATGCATGACATTCATGGATTAACTTGGGGGGAGTGTAGGGGGTATTTATTTTTCCTTTGCATATGTAGTGATAAAGGCATATGTAGGATTCTATAATTTTCGAGTACATATTTGTCAGTTTTAGGATTGATTGGTTATTTTGTAGTTTTTGTTTGATAAATTTGTTTTTTCTTAGTTATTGTGTATAAATATGTAAGAGACGAACCCTAGGCCTACCATTTGGCCTCCAATGTGCCTCCTTTGGCTTTCCTTTCATGCTCTCTTTCTCTTCCCTTCCTCTCACTCCCAACATGTTTTATCTCCATCTCTCTCTCTCTCTTGCTTTCCCTTCTTGAGGACCCAAGCCTACAAACTTTTTCACATATGCATGGTATGCATAGACAGCATAAAATGCTATGTTAAGAATTTATGCGTTGGAAAGTGATGAATAGGCTAATTTTTCCACAAGATTCTGGATGTTACAAGTAACTCTCCAAATTACTTTATTTTGTTTGCATGCATCAATTTGTTCCGAGTATTATGGATGCCAGGCAATAGATTGTCACATGGACACTTTTTCCTTTTTTTTTAGTAGCCTGGAATGGTCAATATTTAAAGAATCGGCATGACAGAAAGCAGGCAGTTATTTCAATTTATCAGATCTATTGGATTCTCCCTATACATTAATCATGGTTATTCCTGAATGTTTCTTCAAAAAAGAAAAGAATACAATTGAAGGTTGAGAATATCTCCAAAGTGATATATTAATTCTCTCTTATTTCTTTGGCTTGCCAATTAATAGATAAAATACAGTAGGATGCCCTAGAGACTTTACAGAATTTTCTTTAGAATAGGTTAACCTGAAATCCAGAAGTTGAAGCCTATCATGAAGGGACCCCTTTCAGTTTCTAACTTTTTTTCTTTTCTTTTGAATGATTTTCAGGATAAGGCTATGTATGATGATTTATAAAGCTTCGGCTTCCAACACATATTTGTTGTTACTTTTCGAACCGCTTAGCATTGCATTTGAGACATTGCAGGTGCACGCAACTTGACACATTGAGGGGCTTAGTTTCTCATACTCGGCAATTTTTCATGCTAAAGCGGAACTATTGTTTTCAAAATGATTGTGTAGGCCATCATGGTTCACGGATTTCAGCTCATTGATACATGGGATCGCCATTCTGCAGACAACAATGCTGATTGCCAAGGATCTCTTCCTTTTGACAGAGCAACAGCAGGTAATGCTAATTATAATGTTCCATTTATCAGTAACTATGATGTATTTTGGTTCTTGCTTTTCATTGACAAAATGACAATGGTTACTACGAGGACGAAAAAGAGCCTGTGCTGTATATCATGCTGATTTTCAACATCCCAATTCCCTAGATGCTAGTAGTTGCGGGATTTCTATGTAACTCAGTGGTGGCTTTGTTTGATGCTTATTTGTCCTTAGAGGCATTGGATGTTAGTTTCTATCTCTAAAATTCTGAAAGAAATTCTTGGAAATATTTTTTCGAATATTAAAAAGGAGAAAGCTTAAAAGAAATACTTTAAATCCAGCAGACAGTAAGGACTAAGAATGACTACCGTACTTGGATCACAGTGTTTGGTTTTTGTATTATTATTTTAATCTAATCTTGACTCGAGGATTTTGTTAGGGACCCGTATTGGATTCACCCACTCAACAAAAATTGGATCTTGCCAAAAGTTAGATTCTGTGAAGGACTATGGCTGGCTTCATTCGCGCCTGTTCACAATTAGGGTTGTCAACTAGCTGAGCTATCTCATGAGTCGGCTTGACTTGGCTCATAAAATTAGCTGAGCTTGCACAATAATTTTTTCGACTTAACAAACCAAGCCCAGCCGAGCCTACATGCTTAAAAAGACAAGCTCAAGCTTAGACCAGCTCAACTTGAGCTGGTTTAAGTACATTTTTATTAAGAAACCAATAGAAACTGAATATAGGTTGTATTATATTGAACTCATTGTGGCTAGGAAACTCAAGTCAATCCAAGCTCAAGCTGATGGTTCAAGCTCGAAGCAAGCTCAAGCTAGTCCTCTTCTTGTGCAAGCCAAGCTTGCACATGCCGAAACTCGGCTTGGCTCTTGGACTTAGGTCAGGACTCACTAGGGTCAGCTGGCTCGGCTCGGCCGAGTCTATTGAAGTTTAATGAATTCGGGCCAAGTTAAGGTGAGGCCTGGATGCGTCTTGAGGTCTTGCCTTGAGAATCGCTTGGTTCTCGACTCAAGCTGACTTGAGTGAGTCCTTAGTTGGCTCGACAAGTTTTGAAACACTAGTTAACACCTCTATTTTCAATGCCGAAATTGCTGCTTTTACCTATCAAGCACCAAGAGTAAACAAGGTCATCGTATTACTCAGTATTTTCTTTAGATCATGAATTCCCTTGCTTTAATCCTTAGTGACCTATAGAGAGATCATGGGAGTTATAATATTGAAATGTTGCTAATGGAACATTTTAGAAAAGTTCACGCATGTGTTTGTGCGCATGGTTATGCACTCTCAAAATATATTATGTTGTTTGTCGTAAGTTGTGGATTTGTTTATGAGAACAAATGATTAAATGTTTTGATATGAGATAGTGTGATATATATATAATTCTATTCAGAAAACATTTGGACCGTTTGTTTCAATTGTATTTAGATGGACCACCTATTTGCATCCTTCTTTAAGATGGTTGCTTTATACCTCGGGGATTGCAAATGTAGAAATGCGGTCCTCGCCACATCTACATTGCGGCCCCTGCCGCATGAAACTCATCATCATCATCATCATAGACTTTTTCCAATTAATTGGGATAGGATACACGAATCTTGGTTCGTCATTCTGCTCTATTTAATGCCATATCCTCAATTAGGCCACAAGTCCCTATATCATATTGGACTACTTCCAACGACGTCCTTTTGGGCATACCCCTTGCTCTTTTCAATCCTTCTACTTGAACTAACTCGTACCTCCTAACAAGTGTTGTAATGGGTCGACTCCACACATGGCCAGCCCACCTAAGTCTACTCTTTCTCATCTTATTGCCTATTGGTACTACACCAATAGCTATATATGTATTTTAACCTGCAGACTCACCACCATCCTATTTTTTTTGGACGACGAGGGAAAATCGACCGCCATGGACATAGAAGGTCAATTGCGGTCTATTTTTCAAAGTAAATTGCACCGGACCTATTATGTCCATCGCGGGCGAAAACATTGTTCACTTCGCCTATAGGTGTGGGAAAGTGTTTTCCATATATATATATATGTATGTATTTTTCGAAACCCAAACGTTCTCCATTCAAAAAAGTGAGTCGCTAATGTAGTGGGTGTCAGTCATTAATGAGAGAGAGAGAGAAAGGGAGAGAGAGAGAGGGAGAACCAGGGAGGAGAGAGAGAAGGATAAACATTTCCCCAAAAACCATATGGAGTGAGTGTTAGTCATTGATATATTGGTGTCAAGGGAATGGGTTTAAAAAACACTTTTTTGAATGGGGAACGTTTCCCCAAAAACCAGAGTGAGATTTTCATCGAGATAAACTTGAGAGGAGGATAAACGTTTCCCAAAAATTATATGGAGTGGGTGTCAGTCTTTAATGTATCGGTCTCTGGGGAATAGGTTTAAAAAACACTCTTTTGAATGGGGAATGGGTTTGGGAAAATGCATTCTGGCCATGCATTCTACTACCTACTATCAATGTTGTTGGGTCCACAACAAGGGTACGCGAATGGGTGTAGCCTGTCCTTTTCTCTCTCTCTCTCTCTCTCTCCACAATAATCGAAGAGGAGCATGATCAAGATGCGGCGACCGCAAATACTCTCGTTCTTTCTTAGGAATGAAGGACATCACAGTGGTTTGAGTTTCTATTGGAGTTGGTTTTGCTGCCTCTTGATGGTACAAACCTCCCTATCACCAAGTCCTGAAAAGACATAATTAGACGAGAAAAAGGTTACACAACAATTAAAAGTTTTGATAAGAGCACTAATAGACAGAAGATTATTAGGCAGCTTGGGAACATGCAAAGTGGACAACAATCTGTAGAGGAAGTTACTGGAGCAGTCCCTTTTCCTTTAATTGGTACAAGGAGTCCGTCGGCAATCTTGATTCATTCTTCATTGGAACAAGTAGCATAAAGTAGAAAAGAGATTGGATGTACCACTCATACGTTTAGTGGCTCCTGAATCAATGATCTAAGGAGCTTGAGGAGTCATGAAATATGGTGTGTATATGCAGATATACCTGATTGGGCGAGATTTGACTTAGAAGAAGTAGATGGCTTCATCATGTGTGAAAGAACACTGCTTAAGATTAAGAATTCATCTTTAGGTGTAGAAGATGTGTATAGTCCCAAACTAGATGACTGGTAGCACGTTGTTGGACTCAGTATGACTGGTCTCCTCAAAGTCGGAGCTGCATATGCCTGAGTTGTATTGAACTTAGGACATCCAATGACATCCCAACATGTTTCTTTAGTGTGTTAAACAACTGAAACATGTCGGAAAAGCGATAGGAAGCATTTCTAAAGTCCTTTTGGATACTCCACATTTCCATTTCACTGATTATTATATTGATTGGGATGTTCATGAAAGAAAGTCTTTATTAGTTTTAGCACCCTTTCAATTAAATGACTTTCTTTTTTTTGGTTCATTCTCTTATAGATTGTCCACTCCCCTCTTCCCATTGATCGTCGATCAGTCCCAACTCCTCTTGTTTCCTTGTTCAATTACGGACATATGGATTTTTTGATAGACTGAACACCAACCCAATCTCAAATGGATAGAATGAAAAACTACAAGCAACTACATCAAGAAGCCCTATTCCTGAAGTTCACTCTAGTCGCTCTCGCTCCGCTCATATACTCATTTATATATATTGATTTTTCACAATTGATACATTTTGGCTTATCCTTTTCATGAGGTGTGGGGTTCGTACTACTACTAATATGCCCCCCAACCTTGTCCACCACCACGACCACCACCATGATTATTTAAAGAATTGAAAAATAGGGCAGATCTTTCAGATTGACCAATGGACATGCATTGCTTTTCGGTGAGTTTCTTCATATTGGACAAGAGAAGATATTATTCCAAGTAGTGTTTCAAAAAGCTCTAAGTGAGCGCCCAAAACCTGGGCGGCCCAGTTGAATCCAAAAAGGATTCTGCAGTTATATATTGTATAAAATACAAGAATTAAGTTTTAAGGGCACATCAGAATTCGAATTATACTACACACACTCCATAAGCATAACCATAAGTCGGTCCATATCCAATTAAAAATTAAAATTTACCAACCAACCAAATTACCAAACCAAAGTTACCAAATAGTACGAAACCAGTGGAACTACAAATTCACTATCCACAATACACAACCAATCTCATCATCATCATAATTCTCCAAAAAAAAAAAAATCTCATCATCATCATAATTGATCCGAACCCTAAACCTAATCTCTGCTATGAAGGTAAATCTCTATTCTTTTTTCATTTTTACCATAATAAAAAAATTGGTTATTTCCTCTTTAACAACATCAAGAGTCTTTTTACATGGGGCTACATTCCCCCTGATACCGGCGAGCTGTTTCTTGAACCGGTTTATGCCCCCTTTTGTATCCTTTTCACAAAACTTGCATCTCATGCAATTTTTATCATTAGGATCTGGGTTGTAGCCATATTTCCAACATGCATCACTATTCCTATTAGGTCCCGAAGAAGACATCTCAAAATAATGCAACTTATACAAGCAATAAAAAAAAATCACTTACTTTGAGTTTGATTGCTCAATTTCCAAACTTCCACCTCAAAGATGCTTCTAAGGACTCAAAATCTTCTAAAAAACCCTCCAATAGATTTATAAAACATCAAAAATTAAATCTAATATCAATGGGTGATGTTTTGATCAATTTCTCATAACTTTGAGAAACCCTTCGATCTTAAAGAAATCACCAAAAACTAGTTTCTTAGGGCCTTTCTCTCTCTAAAATGGGCTCTAAAGAGTTTTAGGTTTCAAATGAAGCTAAAACCCCAATTTTTGGCCCCTTAGTATAAAAAAATGGACAAAAATGCCCCTACCGAAAGCTTTTCCTGCCTCTGGGTGGGGCGCTGAACTTGTGCGGCTGCCCAGGTCTGGGCGTTGGGCGGTCGCCTAGGCGGCTTCTTGGGCGCCTGGGGCGCCCAGGAACCTCCGCTTTTTTTGACGCCTAGGCCTGGGCGCCCAGGCCCTCAGATCCGCCTAAACTTTGGGCTGTCCGCTTTTTGAAACATTGATTCCAAGTGATGGTAGAGTTTTGCCACCCTAAACACTATATCTGATCGTCTCATATTCAGGATTAAGACCCCTTAAAAGATCAATTATCTTCTTTTTTTCCACCCTTGCTCTATGTTCTTTTACACAATGAAAGTAGTTTATGGGTTGGTACTGATTTAGTTCATCCCAAAACCCCATAGAGTACCTACTGATAAATCTTTTTGAAGTTGTTGATTTGCTGCTCCAACTCAAAGATTTTTATGATATTTTTATTTTTATGACTAGGCTTCAGCCAATGTGTCCCGTAACTCTTTTTTAGTATTCATCGTCATCATCTTTATCCGAGCCTTATAGCAATTATTTGGAGTAGGCTTCATGAATCCTGTTTCGCCATTTTTCTATCAAGGGCCTTACCCTCAGTGAGACTGTAAGTGACCATATGTTTTCTTACTACTTACATCCATATCCTTTTGGGCCTTCTCTTTTCCCTTCTAGAACCTTGCACTTGATCCACATCTCACCTCCTAATGTTGTTGTATTACGTCTATGTTGCACATTGCCTGCCCACCTAAGTCTACTTTCCCTTATCGCATATTGGGGCCACACCTAAGTTTCCTCGAATGTATTGATTATGAATTCTATCATTTCTTGGTTTGTTACTCATCCATCACATCCTTATCCTAGCTATACTCATCCTATGGATATTTCTTAACTGCTCAAGATTCCGTCTCATGAAGTGTTGCTGGTCTTACAGCTATCCTATTGAACTTTCCTTTCAGTTTTGTTGGTATGCTGCTATCACATAAAACTCGGGATGTACATCTCCATTTCGCTCACCTACCTTTAATTTTATGCACAAAATCTTCCTCAATCTCTCCATTGTCCTGTATTATCGACCCAATGTATCTAAAATAATCGCTTTTAGATCAATCATACCTATTTCCTTGTTTCTACTCTAATTATTATTAAACAAACATTCCATTATCTCCTCTGAATCTTCTGGTTTTGTGCTGTATGGGGTCCTACAATTTGTCTTTCAAATGCTGTTCATTTTTGCTTTTGGGACAATTTCCTCACTAATACATGCATTTTCCATTGACATGTGGGAGCTTTTTGTAAGATGCTAGTTTTCCTTCTATCACTGCAAGATGCAATCTCTCTCTCTCTCTCTCTCTGTCTCTATTTTTCTGGTGTACATGTGTGTGTGCTCGTGCCTGTGCGCTTGCGTGTGTGTTTGTCCGCGTGTGTGTAGTTGGCCCTGACTTTTGGTAGGATCATAGATGTGTGTCCCACTGAGTCTTCTGCTGCCATGCGACAATGTAAATTAGGGGTTGTAGGTTTGTAACCGCTCCAATAGAATTTTTTTAACTATTTTCTCTAGAGCCACTAGATTTTGATTTGGTGGTATATTCATGCAAAAATATGATTTGTCCCATGGATGTCTTTAATCCATCCATGCTGAGCTATTTGCAAAACTGCATCTTATAGTGGTTTATGCTTTGTGCACTTTTCAAATGTGCTTCCTGCAAGGCTATTGCATACATGAAATGAATGATTTGGATTGATTAGTGTTGTCAGATCTGCTTAGCTTCAACATAAGTGGCTGAAGTCTTCAGATTTAGCCCTTAAACTGAAGTGAAGCGAATCATTCCCTAGTATTTTAAATGTATCAACATTATTTCCCAAAATACCACTGATATATTATACATATAGAAAAATGACCCTCTGATATTCAAAAGTTCAGACCACATATCTTTTTAAAATTTTGAATTTATTTTAAAAAATACACGCTAAAGCTTCCCCCGGATCGGTTGAAGTGCCAAAATACTTCTCTTTCCTGAACAAATCAAAGAGCCTTTGAAGTGAATCTAATAACATCCGATTGACTTCAACTCTAGGCTATCCATGTATGGAACTCAAGACTGTGTCCATCATTTAAACCCTCTTTTGGGAAAGTCTTGAACGAAAGTATATGGCAATTCCATTGTCATGGAACCATACTTCCAAAAGTGCCAAATGTCTGCCAATTTAACATAGTATTCTGTATTGGAAGGATGGCATTTTTGTCAAATAGAGACCTTTTCTAAAACAAAAAATGAACCTTTTCTACGTATGAGAATAATGTAAACCCGGACGGTATTACAACTTTTGACATGCAAAACAAAGTTAGCTAAAAAAGTCGTGCTGTTTTTTGAGTTGGTTGTCAAGAACCAAGGCAATCATTGTTGAGCTTGACCTTATTGGCACAGTATCCCCTCACTTTTTTTAATAGAGAATATGGGAGGGTTATGGTAATATTGCCCAGCATGCAACTTTGATATCCATACAAATCATGTTTGCTGTTATTGATCTTATAATATGGATAGCGTTTTGGAATTCTTTCTTTTTCTCTTGCATTTGTGTTGCTAAGCATGGGATTCAAACCCTAATCCTAGGCTGCAAGACTAAGAACTCCACACCGGTTGGCTAGAATTAGTGCTTTAAAGGCTTATTTCTAACTATAATTGTTCAATGCAGACTTGCTATGTGCAATAGTTTTTCAGTGTTGTTTGTTCCTATTGAATGAGGTGAGATTACAGGTTCTCTATGGGAGTGGAAATGGATAGCGGCGCGAAATTTTGGCTTCTTAATGGATTTGTTGGCATCATCGATGGCACTTGGTCATTATGTACAAATTTGGTGGCTTCATGGCCTGGCATTTCATCTCGTGGATGCAGTGCTTTTCCTGAATATACATGTAACAGTCTCATCCAAAGCTTTGTTGTTAATGGTTTTTTCTTTTCTTCAGTTCAGTATATGCTAGAAGAAGAAGTTGATACTGTCTTCATGGTTTGAACTCCATTCCTGAATCAATATTAGCATTTGATAGGCTCTAGCAAGTGAAATTCTCAAGAAAATCAACGTCTTTGTCAAGTTGCGCTCTGCACTAAATACTCTTCAAGGGGCTCTTCCAGATGCTACTGTAGAGGAGTTGGATGTGTATGCTGATGAATGTGCCATTTGCCGGGTAAGATGGCCTTCCATTTTTGAGTTTTGTAGTATTTTCCCGTGGACTGGTTTGTTGCTATTGGACTGATTTGTTGCTATACTTGTTGAGTAATTTGATTGACAGGAGCCGATGGCTAGAGCTAAGAAACTATCTTGCAATCACCTTTTTCATCTCTCATGCTTGAGATCTTGGTATGTACCTAACCAATATGTTTTTTGTGGTCTTTTATTTCCGTAGGGTAGAGAGTTCAATTCCTAGTCTGTGATGTTATTTTTACACAGTATTTTACTGCATTAGTTGTTTAATTATATTTACATGAAGTACTGCTATGAGCTGCCTACTGAATAATAATTTCCTCTCATTTCCTTCAAGTAGAAGTTCAGTGTTCATGAAAATACATGTTTCTTACATTAAAAAGTACCGATGTAGCAATGGTTTGGACTGATGGTGACCTTTTTCTGTGGGAACTAAAATTATGATTTTGGATTTGACAATTTCGAGTTGGATGCCTTCTCAGCATTGGTGATAAACTTCTTTCTAGTTTCTGGTTTGGAAGAAGGACAATATGTTCTAGCACAATATGTATACTTTGACAATTTTTCACTCTTTCTTTTGCGATACTGGCTAGATCACTTACATATGTCCAAAAATACAACATTAATTTACAGAAATAAAACCTAATATAACCTAGGATCTTCTCTTGCATACCATTGCAATACTATACAATCAAACAAAATACAATGCATGAGGAATCAAGAAACATAGAGCTATTAGAATTACCAAATATGTTTTACTAATTTTAAAACTAATAAAATGATTTTTAGAAAACAATAAGTATTTTTAATTTTTCATTGAATAATTAAATACCTGAAAATGCACTTTAATCCTATTTAAAAATTTGTCTTGAGATAATAAAATATCCAGAGACTTTAAAAATTTTGTTTTAATAATATAGAAATCATTTCTAATCAAATTAATTATTTTTAAATTAATTTGATGGGAATCGGATCCAACTTCGTAAAGGAATATGTGAAATTACTGAGGCCCTCCATCTCTACTAGTGACTATGTTCCACACTCACTTTCTTAAACTGACCTAGTAGTTCCCATGACATACAATCTATCATAAGGGTTCATGATTGGGCTACCAAAGCCAGCCAATAGGTGATAGGAAAACAATCCTAGTCTATGAACAACAGGTTCCCCCTAGGGACAAGTCGAGGTCACATAGACTTATGTGCACACATCGCAATTGGTGCATGGGGGCAATCGCACTTGTACATGTAACTATCATATATACATTGCATGTGATGGTCATGATGAGGATTTAACCCTTGTCCCTTCAAGCCTACCAATTACATACAAAGGTCACATAATCACTTGGCTAACTACCCTAGGCATCTCTCCGACCTCATCAAGGGATAACCCTACTAACCCTTCTCGGTTGTGTTTTGTGTCCAGGTATCTTAGAGTTTTAGAACTCAATTGGCCTAGCTCGTCAAGCCTAATTTTATTCTCGACCTCAATGCTGCCAATTTCGGTTCCAGTGGACAATAATCTTTTGGTCCCTCTGGACTTATCATATCACTATAGTCATAGTTTTATGTGCTCTCATAAGTGATGCAGAGAGAGAATAAAACCAAAAAATTAACAATAAAAAGAAGGAAGGTTGAGAGAAATACCCTCTCTTAAAGGTCTGTAAGGGAATCCACCCCCAAAACAATCTCTTACACGAGGCCAATTTTTATTCAATTCATTCACTACTTTACAATGAAGGGAGGTCTCCCTTTAAATAGACTAAAAAAATAAAAAAAAGAAGATAAGCAAAGAAACCCTTTTCTACACGCACTCTCCTATTTTCTCTTCTCCCTATTTTTTCTCAAAACTTCACGTGCCAAGGATTGGGTTCTAGATAACCACGTTTTACCCAAAAAAAACCTCCCAACGTTGGTTATTGTTGATAAAGATAAACTCTCTAAATTTAACCTTCTCCTATTTATATCCCTCAAACTAACACAATTGATACAAGATAAACACAATATAAACTCATGCCGACTTAATTACCCCTAATTATCCCTGCGCACTTCCTAAACAAAATAATAATTAAAATAACCCTAATAATTCCCCCTTATTACATCATTGCCATTTCTTTCCCTCTTGGGTTCTACGACCCTTCCTGGCCCTGTCAGGAACTATCGACTGGGGCTGGGGCATGGCTGCATCATTCCCCCAGTTGAAAAGAACTCGACTCCCGCGAGTTGTCTTCAATATAGATGAAGAATAAGTCTGGATCCACTCTTTTGAATTCTTGCTCAGAAATCCACGTGGTATCAGTGTAGTGGCCTACTCTTCCATTTGACTAGAAATTGGCGATAGGAACCCTTTCGAGTTTGGAAGCTTTCAGTCTTCAAAACTTGCTCAATTTCCTCCTCTTTCTTTCTCGGTAATTACTTCATCATATCAACTACTTCTTCGACTTCTAGAGGGTCTCTATGAAATTCAAATAAGTTAGCAACATTAAATATCGGGGAAATATCCAATATCTTTGGTAATTCCACCTTATATGCATTGTTCCCATATTGCTTCAAAATGCGGCAAGGGCCCACCTTCTTGGACTTGAGTTTATTATAGGTTTCCAATGGAAACCTCTCCTTTCGCAAATACACAATTACTAAGTCACCCTCCTGGAAAACTTTCTCTCTTCTATGTTCATTTGAGGCTTTTCGATACTTTGCATTGCTTTCCTCAATTTTCTTCTTGATTTGAGCTTGCAAATCTTGAATATGCTCTGCAAAAGCATTGTCATCATCACTTATCTTACCTGGCATGGGTAATGGCACTACGTCCAGTACATGGTTTTAAAATGCGGCCGCATCATGTGGGATGCGCTTGCATCCGCATAAAAAATAGGCGCATATGCGCTTTTGACAGATGCGGCCGCATATGCGCTGCATCAGGCCGCATCGTAGTCGCATCCTGCATAGGCCGCATCGCACCGCATCCCATTGCTAAAGTGTCTGTCGAAATTTTTTTTTGTTTTGCCCCTCGAGGAGGGGCAAAATGGTCTTTTTGACCATCCAAATGTTAGGGAAACTGTTTGGGGGGTATTAGGGGCCCTAAACGAAGACTTTCAGCCACTTTTGTGGCTTTTTTGCATCAAATTGAGGGAAAAAAATTTAGGTAGAATTTTTTTTTTCATGGAAATCTTAGATTTGGCGGTTGTTTGATACGTGGATGTTCATTGGATGCCTTTGATTGTTGATTTGTAGATGTTAGGGTGAATTTGTGATAAGAAATCAGGGGTTTCAGAGGCCGTGAAGAAATCGACCAGTGCTTCACAGACTCAGTAATTTTTTTTTTCCTTCTTGTACAATATTTATTATAAATATTTTTGAGGCAATGTCTTCTTCCCAGTCTTCTAGTAATAAGGATCCGGCTTGGAAATATACTAAACTAAAAAATCCTAAAGATAGAAATTGTGTGATATGCTTGCTCTGTGGAAATACTTATATGGGTGGTATTTTTTGACAAAAAGAGCATTTAGCTGGAATTTTTGGGAATGTAAGAGCATGCGCACAAGTTACAGATGATATAAAAAAGGAAATTAGAGAATATTTGGATAGATTGAAAAAAGATAAAGAGAAAAAAAAATGAAAGGAAAAGAATTACTTGATGATATGCAATTATTTGATGACGATGATGATGATGATGATGATGATATGTCTAAAGTTGCTATGAGGCAAAGGGATACTCATACTCGATCCTCAAGAGAGAGGGTTATGAATATTGGTGGTAGTGTTGAGAGAACACCTCTCTCTAAGGGGCCAATGGATGCTTTTTTTACCCCTAGCCCCGAAATTGTTGTTCAGGAGAGAAATAGAACAACAAAACAAGCTACAATTGAAAATAGATATAAGAAAGAACAAAGGAAGTCGGTATGTAAGTGGATTGCAAAGTGGATTTACATGGCCGACATTCCTTTTAATACTATAACTCTGGATAGTTTTGCATGTATGGTTCAGGCAATTGGGCAATATTACTTAGGACTTGTTCCTCCTTTACTACATGAGGTTAGGGAGTCCTTGTTGAAGGATGCTGTATTTGATGTGAATAAAATTTTGATCTCTTAGAGAGAAGGGTGGGAGAAATATGGGGCCACTATTATGTGTGATGGTTGGTCCGATGGAAAATCAAGGGCATTCATTAATTTTTTGGTTAACTGCGCAACGTGTACTTTTTTTGTTAAGTTTGTTGATGCATCAGACAAGTCACATGATTCTGCATACTTATGTGCTTTTATAGATGAGATTGTCGAGTTTGTTGGAGAGAAAAATGTGGTACAAATTGTCACGGACAATGGTGCCAATTACGCTGCAGCTGGGCATTTATTGACTTTGAAAGGGACGCATATGTTTTGGACTCCTTGCGCAGCTCACTGTGCTAATCTTATGTTTAAGGAAATGGATACATCTTTATTTAGTGGGGTGATGTCAAGAGCTATGTTTGTTGGATTTATTTAGAATCATACCATAGGCTTAAGCATGATGAGGTCTTTTACAAAGAACAGAGAATTAGTGAGACAGGGTATCACTAGATTTGCCATGCCATTTCTCACTCTTCGAAGCCTAGCCAAGTAAAAAAGTGCCTTGAGAACCATGTTTGCTTCAGAGCAATGGAGTCAAAGCAAATGCTTAAAGCATAAGGATGCGAGAAAGGCTGGAAAAATTATTCTGAATACATCTTTTTGGAGTCAAATAATTATTGCATTGGAGGTGTCTCGCCCTTTAGTGAGAGTGCTTTGACTGATTGATGGTGATGCCAAGTCCGCCATGGGCTACATACATGAGGCAATGACTAGGGCAAGAGCTGAAATAAAGGATGTTTTAAAGGATGATGAAACTATTCACGAGGCTGTACTTGAAATTATTGATAGGCGATGGGATACCCAGCTTCACAGGCACTTCCATTCAGCCGGTTACTTTCTAAACCCATCTCTTCACTACAAGCATCCATCCATTGAGTCAGATCGTGTAATAAATGGTGGGTTCTTAGATGTGCTTGAGAGGTTGGTGCTGACAGAGATGTCCAGGATGAGATCCAAAGCCATGAATTGATTAAATTCAAGTTAGCGTTGAGAAACTTTGGGAGAGATATTGCTACTCGAAATAGGGACACTACAGATCCAGGTAAAG